ACTTTCCTTCCTCTCGGAGTCGTTCCATGACCCTCGTAAGCGATGGGGTAGCCCCATTAAAAACGATGTCATTTCGGTGTTTCCAAATCATCCACATGGCAAGGAGGCATTTAACCCTTGTCGACCTCCGGTGTGTTAGATCTTGGTCCTGCCTCATGCACCATGCCCTAAGGATTTCACCCTGCAATGGCTCGAGCTCTTGACGTCCAGTCATCTCACCCATCCCACGGCAGACTTGCCTTGCGAAAATGCAATCGATTAGCAGGTGTTGTATTGACTCCTCGTGCTGGTCACATAGGGGACATGCGTCCTGGTGCGGTATCCCTCACCTGGCCAATCTATCCGAAGTTTAACATCTGTCCTGGATCACCAGCCACATGAAGAAGCGACATTGCAAGGGCGCTTTTGACTTCCAGGTGAATGAAGCCGTTTGCGGCACCTCAAGGCCCATGAATTTGGCCGTGTAGGCGGACCGAGCCGAGAAGCGTCCATCATGCTCCCAGGCCCAGAGAGTTTTGTCCTCCACCCCTTCCAATAGTTGCGTGGCCTCGATCCTCAGCCACAGTCCTAGGAACTGACCTAGTGCCCTGGCCGATAGGTCTAGACCAATGTCACCTGCCCATGTACCATTTGTGAGTGCATCTGAAATCCGCCTTGTGTCTCGGATGTGTCTCGGTATGCGGTTGTAGATGTCCGGAGCCAGCTCTCATATCCGGTAGCCGTCAATCCACCGGTCTTCCAAGAATAGCGTGCTCTGGCCATTGGCCACTGATGTTCTTGTCGCAGCATGGTATAGGGCCTGAGATTCGGCCGGTACCTCAATGTGGAACTCCGCCCAGGGCCGTTCCTTGTGCGTCTTTTGTAGCCAAGGCCACCTTACTTGTAGTGCCTCGTTCAACCATCTCAGATTTGGTATTCCTAATCCACCGGCCCACTTTGGCCTGCATACGCTTTCCCATGCCATTGCGCAATTTCCTCGTGTTGCTTCTTTCTTGCCACACCAAAGGAATCCTCGGCAAATCTTAATAAGCGTTGTGATGGTTTTTGCCGGAAGATTCATAGAAAGCATGGAGTGTATTGGTATTGCGCAGAGTACTGACAAGATGAGCGTGAGTTGTCCACTCTTCGGTAGCATTGCCGCCTTCCAATGCAGCAGGCAGTCCGCAAGTTTGTCCACCAGTACTTGTAACTGAGCCGTTGATTGCTTTCTTAAAGTGAGCGGCAGCCCCAGATAGGTGCATGGGAATGAGGCGCTCGTGCACCCTAGCAACGAACAGACTAGTGCAATCTCATCTTGGGAGCAACGGGTAGATAGTGCAGCGCTCTTGTTCATGTTGACAGCTAGCCCAGAAGCATGTCCAAAATGGCCCAAAATGGCCCCACAAGTGCGGGCCTCAAGCTCGGTTGGCTTGAAGAATACCATGACGTCATCAGCGAACGAGGATACACGTTGTTGCAATCCCGATATAGTCAGTTGAGTGAGTAGTCCTTGTTCCATATCGTACTGGAAATGGCAGCGTAGGGGCTCCATCCAAAGGATAAATTGCATAGGTGAAAGCGGAGCACCTTGCCGAAGCCCCTGGCAGGGAAGGATCGGCCTGCCAGGCGAGCCGTTTATCATTATTCTCATCGACGAAGTGGCCAGGAGGCCACATACCCATGCTCTCCACCGATCTCCGAACCCAACCCTTTCCAAAACTGCTAGCACAAATGGTCATTTCACCGCGTCGAACGCCTTGGTAATATCAAGCGTGAGCATGACCGTTGGGTGTCGGAGTGCGTGGAGCCGCCTCGCCGTGCATTGCACAAACATAAAGTTATCGAGATATCCTTTTCGACGCTCGTTAGTGTCAAACAGAGGAGCCTTCACGCAGGGTTCGCTTAAGAATTTGCCCAAACGGGTCAGCCCATTCTCAGAGGAGTGAGCAAAATAAAAACTATCACGAAAGATGCCATCGTACGATGAAGTCGAATCGAACCATGGAACTAACGCTGAATGACAGTTGTGCCAGCCGATGCAACTAGGGACTAGGTTTGTCTTAAATTACAACGCCACGCTTGAAGTAATATGTGCACGGGCAGATCATCTGTTTTTGAATCTTCCCTAAAAGAATTGAACAATGTGTTCTTGCACAAATTTCAAAACTTAAATAAACTTCTAAAACGTATTTTTTAAACGTGAAAAATTATTTAAAACATGAGTAAAATTATGAAATTCCAAACATTTATTGTTTTTTATGTTTGATACAGAATTAAATATATATTAAAAATTTTGGCAATATATGCTGAAAAATTTGTCACCGCACATTAAACAATTTTGATATACACTAAACAATATTTAAACACACTGGATTTTTTTGTGATATACGATGAACACTTTTAAATATATATTGAGCATTTTGAGTAATATACAGTGAACAATTTTAACTACACATTGAACAATTTTGTGATATACGCTAAACAAAAGTTAAATACACATTAAACATTTTTTGTGATATATGATGAACAATTTTTGAATTCTGAACAAATTTTCAAAAACTGAACTAAATTTGAAAACTTTGAACACTTTTTGAAATCATGGAAAAAATTGGAATTTTATAAAAATGAAAACAAAGGATAAAAGTAAAACAAAAAATGATAAATAAAATGAAAGGAAAAAAATAAATAGAAACAAAAACAGAAAAAAGAAAACAGGGCAAACCAGAAAACCCACAAAAAAACTAGGGAAAAAACCGGTTGAGGGAACCTTCTAGAAGGTTCCCAAAACCGGTTTGCCTGAAACTGCTCTAAAGCTCGAAGTGGGCCGACCTGTTTTGTGGTGCTCGCTCCAGCGCTTCAGCGGAAGCACGGCACCTGGACACTCGCGAGTGTTAAATAGGGATTGCCGGTTCTGTCGACGTTCTCTACCGATGTGGTTTCGGCCCCGAGGACACATTATCTAAGTTCCTTCCGGCTCTCCAGTGTCCTGGCAGCTATGGCCCCGGCGGCTTTGATCGGCGTCGCCTTCCAGTTCCTTGCTCGTTGGCATTGCCAGCTCCTACCACTTCCCCGCGGTGGTTCTCTCTGCCCCACTAACTCCCCGACCATGTCCACCTCCATGACTCACCTTGAGCCTGATCCATTGTTCATGGTCCGGCGGCTCTTGGTGCCATCCTCCGGCAACAAGTGCAGCCCCACACCCCTACCTGTGGTGGCGGTTCTGACCGGCGGCTTGACTTCTGCATCTCCGATTTCCAACCTGACGGCGATGGGATTGCTTGGACTCAGGCCAGGGCGAAATCCCTGCTTGCCTTGCCGATGCTGGCAGCGGCGACACTCGCGGGGGTCGTTTTCCTTCTGAAGGTGCTGCCATGGCCTTCATCCACGCCCTTGTTCGAGCACAGGGGAAACCCTTGGTCTGGTTCTTCGGATCGGATGGCAAAGGAGTCACTACGTCGATTCTTGAAGGACCCATCTTGTTCGCTCGTGATTTCCCCGTGGTTGGCTCTGGTGATGTTGGCTGTCGTGGCGATTTTGGCCTACCCCTCTACTTCGGGGCTTGTTGGGTTTAGTTGTGTTGTACCCTTTGTTTGGGCCGAGCATCCACTTGCTCTCTGCTCATGGCATCATGTACACGTCATCTTGTGCTCATGTATTATGTTGTACTCTCCCTTGTACTTATTCTATTTCCTTCTATCAATGAAATTATATGTAAACTTTGTGTATTCGTGAAAAAGAAACAATGGTATCATATGGTTCTATGGCCCGCTCTACGCATGCTCTCAAACCACCGGTGGAAGTTGTAACGCCACGGAAGTGGAATCTTCCTCCCAGGGGATGGGCAAAGCTGAATAATCAAGCAGGTGCAAGCATGGTTCTTAGATATGATTTAGTGGCCATCATATTTTCTTCGTGTCGCCAACTTTGCTCGACTTCGGAAGCTAAGTTAGGTGCATGCATGGAAGCTGTCTCTCTTGCTTTGCAACGGTGTGAAATGACGGTGATCATCAAAGTAGATGCCCCCGAGGTAGTGAATTTGATCCAGAATAGTGACAATGAGAGGTCTATCTACGCTTCTTTACTGCTTGAGATCAAGACACTAATGTCTTCTCGTCAGACTTGTATTACTCAAGTAAACCATAGTCAGAACACGGTTAGACACTCATTAACAAATTATGCTTGTATTGAGGGTATAACTGTTGTTAGACCGCGTCCTGCAAAGACAGTTGATCTTTGTGATAAAGAATGTAAGCCCGGCAGTGATTGACTAATACAAAGCTTGCCCGCAAAAAAAATCCAATACAAGGGAAGATAGGCACCACGCAAAACAACCTATCAAGAAAGAAAAAACAGTAAAACACCACCAGTCCACCATGAAACCACACCATGCCAAACTGAGCCAATTGTGTGAAAATTTTCTTTGCGCGTGACAAGAACATCGATGATGCTTTTCTCAAAGTAATTAAAGGTAATTAGAACTCTCTGATTATTTAGCTCTTCAAAATTTTGACATGGCACCTCTTCAAGTCTTATTGTGTTGGAAGCCTGTCTTCAAATACTCTCTCCTTAGCCTTGTCAGCCTGCAAATAGACACAATATAACTTATATATACATCATAGTTCACAGGTATGACTTCAAAGCAATATAGGAAACAAGCATCTAGGCCAATCTGATCCAATTCTTATGAAGTATTACTGGTTTCTTTCGCATAACATCAGTCACAGCGATATACAACCTCCATTTTTTTCTTAACCGTCCAATTGTTGATAAATTAGTCTTAGTTCATTAATCACGCATCCATCAAAGCGGGGCGATGGCCCGTGAAAACAAAATAACATGCACCTGCGGCCTAGCAAAACTGTGAATTTAAACCAGGTATAGGTCGCTTCAGAGTTTAGACTGAATTTTGTTTCAATCACCTTCCCCCTTCTCCATCTTGGGACAACACCGGCAGAGGGGCAGAGGTCCATTGATGGATGATTGGGCAGTGACAAGAGTAAAAAAAAGTGTCCCGGAGAAAATCAAGCACGTTGACGTATCAATGAACTTGGAATCACGTTTGATTTCCAACAGCATGCCACATATTTATTTTATTTATTTTTTATCCCAGGGTCCTGTTGTTTAGGGTTTAGATAGAGGAAACCTCAGTTATAGCAATGAAAGATTCACGGAAAGGAGAAGCATTGGCGACATCAACGAAGTGTTATGGATAAGAAACAGACTTTAAAATGGAGAAAGAACTTACCATCTTGTCCCATTTTGTAGTGGCAGTTATCACAGATAGGAGAGTGACCTGTGTGGCTCCACCAGCTATCATGCCAATCCAAAATCCCATTCCTCTTAGTTGCATTGTAAAACCAAAAAAGAGTGCAACGGGGATCCCAACAAGATAGAATGCACCCAGGTTGACATACGCGCCTAAATGCTGCCATCCACAGCCCCGAGAAACACCTGTCACAATAAAAGCATTAAACAGGACATCACATAACTATAAACAGGGCATCACATCACAAAATCAATACAGTTCAAGATTCTGCATAATAGCAAAAATCATACTGTTTTGACTCCGCACAACTTAAATGATGGATCTCTTTACATATATTGCCTCATATGAGATTATAGACTACATATTCCATATTCTGTTAAGTCATACATCCTCAAATCACATTCTGTTATTTATATATATCTACCCATGATGAACTTTCGAACACACCCAAGAATTTAATTTCCATTAACCTTATTGCATTAATGATGACCAACAACGGCACTGCCCTTGCAATGAATATGAGTACATAACAAGTACACAATTTCCATAGAGCCCTTCATCTAGTGCCGACAATTTATTCACCACTGATCTTCGACATATGGGGTGTAAAGATAATAGAGATGAGGCTTGGAGTGCGAGGGGATCATGTCGAAGGCTATAGAGACAATAGTTATCCATGTTCGGCCACGAGATGGGTAATAGCCCAATGTCAAGCTTATATTTATGGTGTATTGATATGGAGAGCAACATACAAGAGCTAGATTCGATCTATGAGCTAGATCTTAAGCTTGGTGAAGATGCTTCTGTCTAGGACTTTGCAATTCTGAATCGGCTTAAATCTTTGGCGTTGGCTTCTTGGTCTTTATATAGGGGGCATCATCTTGATTGGCAACTCTTGTATCTCCGACATGATATGATCTGGTGGCGCTGACTAGGTAAAATCTTCTAGATAAATTAAGATCCTGGACTTACTACATCACCATTGATTATCCCTCCGAGTACCTACCGTATATCTACGTGCAGGCTCCCGAACCCTAGGCACTTATAGGTTGATTCAGTCATCATCATACGTTGATACGGCATACATTCTGGTAGTTTAGCACTACTTATCGACATCTAGTTTAATTTATGATGCTACTGACAGTATGTAATGCGAAAGACATGGATACCTGAAAGGACTCCTTGGAAGCTGTCTGTAATGACTGAAATGGAAAGTACGGGTACCATTCTGGTGACATAATCTACAACCTCCTCCTCGTTGCTGAATGCAATTCCAATGAAGTGGCGCAGGGCTAGAAGAGTTGTGCTCACCAGGACTGCTGAACAAACTACAATCGACAAAGCAACACCTACCACCAAGCGAGCACCTTCTGGGTTGCCAGCACCTAGTTCATTTGAGACACGCACACTGGGACATGGATATGACATATGTTAGCTTGTTAAATTCGATAGAAACAAGTATAACTGACGATAGAAATAAATGTGCTAGCCGACCTTGCAGCTGTTCCAATACCGTAAGGAAGATTGTACAACAGCACCACTGTAGATATGCTGTTCAAAAGGACATCAATTTGGTAAACGTCATAGCACATGATGCAAGAATATCTTATTTAAAGTTCTACTGATGCATACCATATAGAAAGCACAGAAGTTTCAAGTGCTGGATTTGGTAAGATCCCAGAAAGCAGAACAAGCAGCTCGTAAGACCACCATTCAAGGCTGTGGTCAAGGAAAGTGAGATTAATATCTGGAGGGGAGAGGATACCAAACTGGAAGCTTAACTGAGGTAAGATTATGCAAGAAAATTGAGGTTCAGGAATTTCTTAACTAGACGTAATATATGTATAGAGCTTATCTACTTCGCTGTAAGAGGGAAGGAAGCATATTTCCAGTGGTATTGCGAGTGAATAATCTGTACTATGTTAATACCAAGTGGCCAAGATAACTCTTTCCTTCATCTGGCAAGTACTACCTCTGTTTCTAAATATACTACCTCCTTTCCAGTTTATAAGGCTTGCGCGTATCCCTAGATCTATAATTTGACCAACATAAGATGAGTTGTATAGTCTAAAAATTATATCATTACAAAGTAGATGATTTGAAGTTTCTAATGATATATATTTTATAATATATAAAATATATAACTTCGCACACAGTAGATTTTTTGTTAAACTTAATATGAATTTAAACAAGAGAGAAACATCATTCTTTATAGTACATTAGTACTATTAATTTTCATTACAAGTACTCGGCCTAGTTCTAAACTTCTCATGACAAGGGATGGAGATTATTTTTGTTAAAACTTGTCAAGTTTTTACATTTTACAACAATAAAGCCTTTCAGTCCCAAACAGTTGGGATAGGCTCAAGTTTTTACATTTTAAATACTATAAATTCATCTTTTGCATGAGAGACAGATGTACAAAACAACTGTATATATGTTTTTTTTTTTTGTAATAGTTGTTATCGAATCATGTTGGCCAATTTGTTCACTAGTGTCTAAAGATAATTCCTCACTGGATTACAAATCCTACTTGGACGGGGTCATGCCCCATGAAAGTGCACATATTTTTGAAATTTTGAAAATACCATTTGAAAAGCACAAGACACACTGTATAAAATTCTCAAAATAACAGATAGTGTCACTAGGGAAGAGTGAATATTCTATCTTGCAAGGTTTGAACTTCAAATACAACTCTGCGAAATACAGCAAAGACAAAAATCACTGCAAACAATACCAAAACTTAGTTTTACTGATTCGCAGTCGTTTGTCATTTTTGTATGTTGCAAAGGACATTGGAAGCGAAGTTGAAATTTGCATGGAAGTACAACACACACACTTTAACTACAACAACTTAAAAACTTCCTCATGTGCTTTTGAACAGCGTTATCATATTTGCAGAAAGATGCCCATTTTCACAGGATATGTTTGTGTAGTCAGATAAGTGGGCAGCAAATACTAATTACTCATATTCCTTTTCCAGTTTTATTAGAACTAGTTAAATTAAATATTTATAAATAGAAGAAGTACAGTCAACAGGCTCATCCAGAGCATGGTGGCCCAACAACAACGAATAAAAAGCCCATTGTCATAGAATATGTGCTTCAATGCTTGTAGTCAGACAAGTAGACTGCAAAAGTTGGCTACGATCCTTTCTGACTTGAATTAGGACTAGGCGACTTAGTCTATATAAACCAAAAAAGTTTAGCCCACAGGCTCATCCAGAGAATGGCAGCTAAATCTCATTGAACAGAAGGTACAGACAATTAGGGTCACGTGTATGGGTTAAAGCCTAGCGTTTCATAATAATCATTAGATTTTTAATGTGGAAACCCGCGTTACGAATAGTCATGAGGTCACAAATTGAGAACCCTTTCATAATACTGTGCGAGTGCAAATGTTTCATGAAAACAAATACTCACTGTTGAGAAAATTCGAACGACAATGAATCATTTGTTGTTATGCAATATTTCACAATACTATCTAAAAAATGGTCGCAGCTTTCATCAAATTGTAACATGCAGGTATATAAGAGCTCTTAAAACACAAAATCGACATTTTTCTTCAAAAAATACATAATTTGGAGATATAGTATTGCATATTATGGTTCCTCTATTTGTAATACACATTCTTCTAGTTTTCTTACTTCTCCTTTTCGTACATACCGTCTTACAGTTTTGTAGTGGGGTTACCTCCGCAGTGCACATTCATCGGATAAAAATCTAGTGAACATCCCTTTACATACTAGTAGTTCATTTCTTCCTTTCTTTATTTCTTCATTCTCTATACTACATTTTTATTTAAGTTTTTTCTACTGTCATTTTGTAGTTTTTTCTTGCTTAGAACAAATAAGAGAAATTCAGTATACTCCTCCGAAAGTATTGCAGCCTAGCTATGCTACAAATGCAAATTATGCTCAAACAACCAGCTACTTGTTCAGATACATTGCCCGGTGCACTACATCGAGCGGCAACTAATATATGGGGAGCTATCCCGCTAGCAGGAAGCTATTTCCCAATGGTGAAAACAGACTTCAATTTTGACATTCCATTTGAGAGCAGTAACTTAGTGAATTTTGAAATCGGTTTTTAAAAGGCCGATACATCATGAATTTTTGAAGATACTTCCTCCGTCCCATAATATAAGACGTGCCTGCAAACTGTTTTAGCTTGCAAAAACATCTTATATTCTGAGACAGAGGGAGTAGCTTTTTCTAACCAATAAACCTAGTACGGGAGAGTGTTATGACATTAAAAAACAAAAATAGTAGGTGCGAAAAAACATAAGTAGAAAGACATCCAACTTTACCCAATAATACAAATAAAATACCCAGATTTATCACATAGAGATAACACTAGTATTATCAATTATCACTTCATTATAATTATAATCTTAATAATTTGGCTAACAATGCCAAAAGGTGTGTACTGGAGACCATTTCAATGTCCACAGGGACAAGTAAAACAGAATGAAGAGTACGTTAGCATACATGAGTATTGCTGTATTGGATAATATTTGGGTGGACAAAGTATGGGAAACACTCATCAAACTAACAAGGCATCATATTAACGTTCATGCTAGAGTCTAAAGCGACATCAATATGGAAACATGTTCAGATGACATTTACTTACCAAATCATAAGAGCCGATGGTACAGCCAAACGCATGAAACTGCCAATTCCTTTAAAAGCTTCCCACGTGAGTGGAGCACGTGTTTTCTCACAAGAAGGTGAGAACTTGATGTAAAGACCAAGAACAATCACTTCAACCCAATCGCAGATGCTGACGGATAAAGCAGCTCCAGCATTACCCATACCAACTTTATAAACCAGGAACCAACACAGAGGAATAAATACAGCGAGTGTGATCATGGAGCTAAGAACCATAGGAAAAATGAGGCTCTGACACTGCAGAAACTTTGAAAAGCATTGAGCAACACTGAAGGCAAATAAACCAGGGATAAGCCACAATGCATATTTCCCAGCCTCATTTGCAATTTCTGGTTGCTGACCTATGAGAGGAAGTACTTCCGGAATGAAAACCCATACAATGGCGATGGGCACACTCACAATAAGAAGTACAATGATGGACCTGTAGGTATATAAGGATAACTTATGATACTGTTCTGCTCCATAGGCCTGCCCACAAATAGTTTCCAATGCGCATGCCAGTCCTATCTAAAAGGAAACTGCATCAGTAATGAATTGACGAATCATACACATACTGTTCAGGAATAAACGGAAGAGGAACTAGGATGAACTGAAGAGATATGCTGAAAGAATGGTAGGAATAACAATGATGCTTGTGCAAGGCGGGCAACAATTGCTGATTACAAGAATATGAAAGTTTTAATACAAGATATCAGGGTTTACATGGTTTAAACTAACACCTACGCCAAGATTATTCTAACTTAATTAAGATCTATATTTATAAGTGCAGGAAGACTGGGATAGTCAACAGGATAGAGATTTGGGTCCAAGTACCACTGCATATAGTGTGAACATCATGTTTACTAGTTAGATCTGATCATTGTATTGCAACAATCCTAGTTGCGGAACCGCCTCGTAACAGGAAATTGGTGGAACCACATCGTGTCATGGCCTGCAGCTCTCACTGCGCCGTTTCCCCCGCAAAAACGGTCACGCTGGAGATGTCCCATTTCCATGACCAAGAATCAGGTGTTCCAGGGGGGTGGCATTCACATCCTGGATCAGCTCGAATATTTGCACTGCTTGAGTGTACATAACATAGAGATGGGGGCTTAATGTCTCTAATCCATCTTTGCATCAGCTAGACCTTCAGTGACATGTATGAATATATGTTTGAGGCCAATATATATACTGTCATGGTACATAAAACCTCTAGTTACATTAATGAAATCACTACGCATAAGATAAAGCATTGGACCAAGTGAGCTGAAAGTATCAATATAGTATGAATTTATAATTTTTCACAAACTACCATTTGTCTCTCGTATCCTGTGAGCAACTAAACTAGGGCAATACTACAACTAACCTATACTGTTTGAGGCCTCCTATGAGATGATGTAACTGGCTGTGTTTAAAACTAGTTAGGGAACTCTTGGGATATACTCTTGTGCAGCTATCTGTTTGTATTCTACTTGCTTCTGTTTGGCCATCTTCTGATGAAGTTACACTTAAGCTGTCGTGATCTACAGTACATATGTTGGAGACTGGGTTTTCAATTAAGGGAAAGTACCAACTTATAACCAGACTAAAAATATGACAATGGAACTGGCAAATCTCTCTCACCCGATTGAATCAAGATGACTCAGATCAACCTCAAAAGAGGCGCCCTGAATATCCCAACTTGCACTTAACAGCCTTTGACTTTATAGTGATATCGGTAACCCACATTGATCTACGCCATCAAAATTCTGATACAAGTTTGTGCGCTTATAAGCTTATTATCCTCTTATGACGGTAGTTTTACCAGATATTCTTGCTGAAAACTGAAGTCCAACCAAAGCGAATAGGACACATGGAAGTAATCTAAACTCCAGTGTGGCTTTACCCTATGATAAGCAACACAAACAAATAAATCGTGTTTAGAAAGAGTATCACTTGAATTTGAAAGGTGAACCTGAAGCCTCCTTATTCGTAAGACTGGTACATGAGCCTTAGTAAGTTAGTAGTAGTGATATAATCGTCATATTGAAGAGACAAAACAGAGCACTGATGGTTGCGCCACATATTGCAACCAACGACGCAAGTCCGAAATTGAAGCCCAAAGCAGAAGCAAACAAAAGGTGGATTTTCAAAATTAGCATACAAATTCACGGGCCTTTTCATGTCACTGGTACGCATGTTTGACTTGCGGTCATCAACCACCCCGGCGTAAGCATTCGTACAAGCATCTCGTGGGCACTGAGTGTATACCAAGATAAGAAAAGTCATCTCCCATTCGCCCGTGGCGACTCACGACTAGCACGCACAATCTCATGATGCAAAAAATGTAAACAAAAAATGTGGAAGGAATGGCAAACGGAAAGGGGGGTTGGTGGGAGCGAGCTCACGAGGACGCTGAAGCCGGAGACGTTGGTGAGGGAGTTAGCGATGGCGGCACCAGCGAGCGCGACCTCGCCGAGGTGCCCCACCATGACGGTGGAGATGAGCTGCATCAACAGCTGCAGCAGCGCCACCGCGATCATCGGCGCAGCCAGCGCGGCCAGCCGGCCGGACTCCTCCGCCGCTTCCCTCCACCACGGCCGCTTGCCTCCCGCCTCATCGGGCACCTCCTTGTGCTCGCTCCCCCTGCTGAGCAGCAGCGGCGCCTCGGAGGAAGAGTCCATGGATGCCCGCCCCCGGACCACGCGAAGGGAGGTGGTGTGGAAATGGAATGGGAAGAGGACCGGGGTTCGAGGACTCATCTCCTACAAGAATATCTCCTCTTATAAAGAGCGCAAGACATGGTTGGCTTCTACTAATTCCCATGTGTTCTCGTTCTTTTGAAATGAATTGAGAAGCCGCCGTGGGTCAGGGTCAGGGCAGGTAGGATTGGGAGGCGGATGCTCCATTACGCCATTTGTCTTTCAAGTCAAAACCCTGATTGGTGGCGACTCGGGACATGAATAACGGGGCGGCGACCCTGGAAGGCGGTCCGTATGGTGGCTAGGCTTCTGGGTTGTTTGGACGATGAGGGCCGGGTGTAGCGGTGGGTGGTTCAAGTGCATTTTTGTCCTTCGCGGTGGTATTGCCCAGATCCGAATCTGGTGGCTGGTTCTCGTCGTGACTGGTTTGGGTGCCTCATGGTGACACGGGTGAGCTACCGAACGAAAGCGCCGCGGTTTTGCGCCGACGGTGACGATATCTACATGTGTCATTATCTTTTTGAAGACGTCGTCGTGTTTCTCTTTTCCGTGGCGAGTCTCCTGGTGAAAACCTTTGTCCTTTTAGGTTCGGCAACGGCGGTGCTTGCATTCTTCTATTCAGTTTGTCATACAGTCTACAAGGTGTGAGCTTGGAGATGGCACCACTATATCATTCTGGTATGATCTTTGGACAGAGAATGGCCGGCTATCCCACTCCTTTTCAACCCTTTTCACCTTTGCCAGCTGCAAGTCTTGCACAGTCGCCTCACAGTACGTCTCTGGACACTGGATGATGCAACTTCACCCTAATCTATCTTACACAGCGCTGCGGGAGCTCGAGAGACTAACTCGGTTACTAAGTTGCATCTCACCAACAACTGCTAGAGCAGACATCAGGAGGCCGCTAGCGTTTGATAGCAAGATTTCTACGACATTTTTTACAAGATGCTTACGTTCAGGGGCAGGGACTGCCCGTTGGCCCGTTACATTTGGGACCGAATCATACACAAACGACACCGCGTCTTTCTATGGCTGGCCCTCAAGGACAGGCACAACACCCGGGATAACATGCTAAGGAAGCACTGGACAAGGCTTGTAAAGCACAAGGGATGTGATTTATGCCCAGCAGCCGAAACTATGCATCATATAATGCTTAGATGCAAACTTGCACAAACTGTTTGGGCCAAGGCCGGCCTCCTGGATTTGGCAGTCTCATGTGAGTCTGCAGCAGATTTCTTGGCCTCTGACATAGCAAAGGAGGCACATGGCGCGCTCTGGCATGTCTTCTTTGCAGCTGCTGCTGTTGCGCTTTGGCATGCTCAGAATGAGCAAGTTTTTCACAACAAGTGTTGGACAACTAGAAGGATTCTTACTGAGGTGGCCGACCTGATCAAGCTATGGACACTACGAGCACCCGAGGGAAATGTCAGGGACGTCTATCTTCTTGGGCTGATGTAATTGTGCGAGAATAGCTCAAAAGTTTTCCCTGCATCCTGGCTTTACTTCTTTCCTTCCTTCCTTCCCTTTCCTTGTTTTATTTCCCGGGCTTGGCGTTGGCCTGCTGCACGCTCTGTGCGGCGCTCACAACGCCTTCATGTAAAAAGACTTTGGTCACCCAGTCTACGGCCTGTTTTGAATGTATAAGGTAGAACATGATCTACCTTTTCTTTCAAAAAAAAAAGGCGTTGTCGTGGAGGCTAGGTGTCCCTGGTTGTGTCGTGGCGTTGTATTATGGTCGTCCTGTGATTAGTTTTTCGGCAACGTAGTCGTGTGTGGTTATGTTGGTCAATTATTTAGGGATCTGTTGTATTAGAGGGTTGCCTCACCACATTGTATTGTTTTGCCGTGTAATTTGATAATGTTGTTTTATTTATAAAGCGGGGGCGAAAACCTATTTTAAGAGTTTTGAGCACCAAAGACGTCTCCAATCGTTGTTCTCTTTTTGAAGGCACCATCTTGGGAGATAGCTGGTGGCTATCGTTGGTTGGCGTTGGTTAGCTGAAGGCACCATATTGGAGGTGGTACGGTCTGCCATCTACCGTGTTGACGATGGTGGGTCTTGGCTGCGTGGCGGTCTTGGCGATGGACGTGTGTTGATGGACGCGCGAGGATGATGGTGATGTCTGATGTCATGAGGGTATTGACGGCAGTTCGTTCTGGCAAGGTCAATGGATCTCTTCTGAAATTAGGATGACGGAAGATGTCTGCGGCAGATTCTAGAGTATGCGCATGCGGCGCATGATGAGGGTCTATTATACCAGTTGATGATCTCGGTTCATCGTGGACGGTTTGATGAAGCCATTGGATTAGATGATGTTTGTGAGGGCACATCGTTAAGCTAGTAGGTGCAGTGACATAGATTATTATTGGGACTTTGAAATAATTCATGTGTTTGTTTGTCATATTTTATTAAATAATAATTTGATAAAGACGACTGCGTACATCGTTTAATGCACTCGTCGTTTTTTTTTGAAAAGGGAAAGGAAATGGCTCGCGTGGAGGCGAGCGAGAACCCTGGATGCGGATGGTACCACCCGCGGCAGGACTAGTCGTACTACTAGCTGCTTCGATCCGGTCAGAACCCGTATTTAATGCGTTTAATTAAGAAACGTGTTTAGTGGAACGGGAAGCTACTAGTAGTCGTCGAGGCGTGCACGCGCTACCGTATGAACTGAAACACCACTCCACTAGCACAAAAGTATCCATCAATTTAACAGATGTAGAGACCATCGTTCCACCACCTTTGACGGCATCATGTAGCGTTGACAGCTTGACATAGACCTATACCAGCCACTTCAGGAATCAAACCGTCCATAGTTCTGACTGTAAAAAGTGGATCGCCTTACAATTGGATCTGCTGACCATTGGATGTTTCTGCGTAGGTGTGTGCGTGTTTTTCAAGGTTTGTAGCTTCTTTTGGGTAATCTTTCCAGCTAATTCGTGCTTGTCGCCGGCAGCAAAGATGGCCTTTTCCACACTACTAGGGTGGGAGTGGCAACATGGTGGTGTGTGCTGGTTTTGTTATGATGGCCTTTGTATGCAGATGCATTTTTTTCATTTTAAAAGAATTTTGGTCATTTTCTTTTTCTTTTTACTAGCAAAACGCCCATGTACAAATTATATTACTCCCTCCGTTATAATGTAGTGCATATAGATTTTCTAAAAAATCAAACTTTACAAACTTTGATCAAGTTTATAGATAAAACTATTTATATCTATGATACGAAATATATATAATATAGAAATACATCTTTTATGTATATGATAATATGTATTTGGTATTCTAGATGTGTGTGTTTTTCTCTATAAATTTGATCAAACTTTATAATGTTTGATTCTCAAACAAATTATACGACTGAAAAGTGGGAGGCTTGTGCACCACAAGGTTTGCAATTTCGTCCTAGTTGGCATCCAGTTTTGGAAAGGGGGGGGGGGGTGCATTGTTTACTTCACAACCAATCATGGTGATCTACTACTTCACACCGCCTTATTGCTTGTTGTGCCTTGCCACAGCGCCGCCCCGTCTTCCTTTCCTCCCCTTGGCGCATCTCCAAAGGAGACTTTGAAAGCTCCGGTATATATCCGGATTGTTTTTCCAGACCACTTTTGTTAACTTTTGTCATCCAATGAAGACCGTTGTGGACTGGACGTCCATTTTTTTCGCAAACCGCAAGTAAAAGCACCCCAAGTCCTATAACTTGTCCAAAATCTGATGATTTTAGTCAAGAACTTGCAAAACGACACCCCACCGTCCTCAAACTTGCACTAGATGTGATGATTTGGTCCTAGGCCAATGACAACGACAAGTGGTGCCCAGGTGGCCGGAACTGGTCATCGCGACACTTTTGCAGATCCCCTCCTGCCTTTTTCGCTAATTAACCCGCAGTACACACCACCTGAGTTAAATTTGTCTCAATTTCTCTTTGCATCCGTTCGTTCCCCCGCGACCACCTTCTGTCATTTCGGGGACGACAGGAGTGGCGACTGCTGATGATGCCAGCCACCACGTCGTCGTCGCCGGAGTTCACCGGGGGTATGGAGGCGCCTCCCTCCGCTCATCTCGTCCGCCCGTTGGGCGTCTTCCCTCCCGACTATTGTTAGTCTTCTGCCTCCATCTACTCTGCTTTATTCTCCGTCTGCCTTCTTTCTTCGTTGTTCACAACACCGGTAAGCGATCTGATTCGAGGTTGATACAAGGCCTTCTAGTGCTAGTGCTTGCCTATTGTTCTTGCAGGGCAGTAAAGCTAGGGTTTCAGGCAATGATTTTAGGCTAGGGTTTTGGGCGATAAAGTACTTGTTTTGGCTGATAAAGTAGGGGTTTAAGCCTAGGGTTCTTCGATGAATGTAGTGGCTAATGCCTGTGTATACTTAAATGAAGCTCTTTTGTGCTCTTGAAGATGACTGTGTCAGAAGCAATTTAGTGATAAATTCTGAACTTTGTAGTTCAGTTATGCTCAATATCGTTTGCAGTGTAGTTTCAGTCATGCATTTAGCTCAATGCTGCAATTCAGTTATGCTTATGGTCATGCACAAGAATTGTTGCAACTTTTGTAATGATAAAATTTCAGTTTCTGCAGTTAGTTAATTGAATTTTGGCGGTGCACATTTTTGCAGTTTTTGTATGGCTGGACATTTGTAGTTCAGTTATGCTCATGATGCGTTCAGTTATTTAATTTCATTAAATTCTTAGTTGGAGTTGTGTTGCTGCTTGTTTAGTGTTTACAATGTACACTTTTTGGATGCAGTACGTGATTCAGCAAATGGACAAGAGGTGGATACTCCTTTTTTACACTAAACTTGAGCATGGTGGAATTTTCTATGGATCGCGTACCGAAAACCGTCGCCGGATATGGACCATCTTGTCTGATCTCCGAGCGTCAAGCGACCTCCCATGCATGCTCATGTGGGATTTTAATGAAGCTATGTGGCAGTGTGAGCATATGTCAGCCACCCCACGCCCCCGCTGGCCAAATTGCAGCATTTCGTTAAGTTGTACAAGATTGTGAGCTCCATGATCTTAGGTTTGCCGAAGCTCCGTTCACTTATGATAATAGGAGTGG